ACATTACAAAGAATGTCTGTTTATACCTCGGCTAATTAACGGGGAGAAAAAAACCATTTAAACTCTGCAAATAGCATAGCTTATCATTTTGACAGTATGATTCTTGACTTACTTTTGGGAATAGATATCTGCAATAGGTCCGTGAAACGAACACGAAAACCCTGCCCTTTTATTAACCACCTTTGTCCCTCATCAAAACACGGTAATGAGTCAACGGCGCTGAAACCCGCTTCTTACGTTGTGGCAATCTAAACGCTCGAGCCGCAACTAGTTTTGGCTATTGACTTGCAAAATTACCCTGCATTAAATTGAACTTTCTAAAGATCTAAAATAAATGCAGTGGTATGAATACATTACCCTGGTGTGCAAGACATTCGCGATAAACAGATAAAATTATTATATACATTAATTTAAAAAGTTAAGATTATTTAGCAGTATGTTTCTATCAGCTGTGTATGAAGATTGGTAACAAGTTTTGCGTTTAAGAGATGGTAAGACGATTTTTCCGCGTCCCGGCAGATGATAAACTTCGTCCGTGAATTGGTAAGACGAGATAACCATATCCGCGTCCTGGTATGACGATAAACCATGTCCGGCATCCTGGGTATGACGATAAAACTACGTCCGGCATGCTGGGTGAAGACGATAAACTACATCCGATCCGAAAACTGATCCTGGATAAGACGACAAAATACATCCAACTGTTAGGTTTCCACCGTGATCTGGGGTGATAAAATTTAGCCCCAGCTATGGGCAAATAGTTAACTTCCAAACTGTGGTCAAAAACAACTTGAAAGGTAAAAATAAGAAATACTTTGAAAAAAATTATTACCTGTAATTTGAAAAGACAAACAAATATTACCAGCTAAACACTTTTGAAAAAATATTACCATCTATACATTCTTTTTAAGAAAAAAGTGTTACAGAAATAAAAATTGTCGGCATTAAATTACCCATTGAGATTGTTATGCCGTAAAACGGACCAAACCAATGCGATCAGATGTCGTGTAATATGTACCTCTTTAAGCAGCTTAAAGCCGAAAAAAAGACCACGCAAGACCATAATATGCAAATTTCTATTTAGAAATATTTGCCTGAAACAAAGACGAATGATGAAACCTTGAAGGGAAAGATGAGTCAAAGAGAGATAGCCAGGCAGCTGAGAATTGCCAGAAACTGTGTTCAAACCACCCAAAGACGTTTTCTACTACTGAGAGTGATTTAAGTGCACCCATGTGTGTGTGTAACTAAAACAAAACAGAAGACCACAAATGATAGACAAGAGACGTGAAAGAAAGATTGGGAGAGTTTAGGTAAAACATCGTAAATTAATGGCCAGAGTGTGAGAAATGAATGCAGTCTTATCAATGAATTTTCACTTGAGACATTACGCAAAGTCTTACGAAAAACTACTTTAATGGACGCATAGCAATAAAAAACAACTTAACCAAAAAAACATCAAAATAGAAGATTGAAGTGGTTAAAAACACATCTAATACGGAACGTTGGAAAAATGCAAAAAGTACTTTTTACTGACGAATGTGACATTCTAATGCAAGAGAATAGGTAAGAGGGAAGTGGAGGAGGAAACACTGCAAAATGTAATATAAACATTTGCTAGTGGTAAGTAATGATTTGGGTTTGCATCAAAAGAAATGGCGATAAAAAGTGTTTAAAGTTGATGAAACCAAAACAGGGAAAAGTATATTACTTTTTTAGTTCTTCATGTCACCCCATGTAAGGCTGTAAAGTCATTCAGACACAACGGGTTACTGTGTGAAAGAATAAGAAAAAGAGGAAATATTACAGAGATAGATAATGATTGATATTGCATTTGAGAAAAATCAAAGTTGACAAAAGCATGGAGCCAGAAGAGAGTTCCACAAGCGAGAGGTGCGATATGTGAAAATGTTACTGACGGTTACATCTAGCCAATTCAACTACGAATTGAAGAAACTTTATCGACAATCTAGTACTGCGCTTAAATTCATAAAGTCTAAATACCACAGCGAAGAGTGATATTTATTCGTAATTTAATACAAAATGAGGGGGGAAAAAAGATAACTTCTTTTCCCAGAATTTAAACACGGCCTGATCAACACTGATTTAAACATACCATAATATTCCTAACACCAAAACAACTCAATCTTTTCTTTCTTACTATATTCACCATAATACCTCAATGTTTCTATGAAAGTTTATTATCTGTGGGGAGGGGAGGGGATTAAAATAACAATTTACCACAGTGAAGGGTTCATCTGAACAATTACCATGAAAGTATTTATAGAAAAGGCGTAGGTCAGATACATTACGGCGTGCGAAAGTGACTGAAGTCGAGACGCCAGGTCAGGACTAATAGCACTGCTGCTTCCCCTGTGGATTTTATAAAGACTATTTATATATACAGCAGGAGCACCGAACTATATGTAGCAGCAATATTCAAAGCTTTGACGAATGGTAGGATTATACACAGATTCAGAAGAGAAAAACACTTTATCACGACTGTAGATTGCTACCGTCTAATATTCTGCCAAACTACAAAGACTTTTTTTTCAGAATGTCTGCGTTACTTACCACGTATCACATGCAATTAATGTTTTTTTTTCATGGTGAAGATATTCAACTTTTTGACGATTGACCAACACTAATCGCTGATATCTATATAAGTGAAGAAATTCTTCATTTAAAACAACGCAATCTCCTAATGAGAGAATCTAGAAGTTATTCCATTCAATGACAGACAAATAAACAAAATGCCTAAAGCCTACCTGAAAATAATTAGACATCAGTTATACCACCTCTTACACCAAAGTTAGGGGTCTACGTTCCAACTTTCCAGAAGTGGAACTCCATCTTCTTCAGACTCAACCTGACCTCCTGTTCCTGTCTGTTCCGGGTATCAGTACCTCAATCTCATTGCAAGAGCTCAAAAATACATTCCGATCATTTGTAAACGTCTATACCGATGATATGGGCGCATCTCTAAAAGTCTTGATGATCAGTGGTTGGCAGTTGACTTCTCTTTCGGTATAACACTTCTCAGTGAGGGAAATACTGGCTGGTTATATTCAATGCCTCTAAAACCAGACCTCGAACTACCACCAGTCACTGTGAACGGATGTCCCCCCTCGATGAGCCCCATGACAGGCCTGAGATTAGACCCAGTGGAATTCCTATATATGATCCATCGCTAAAAATACAGGAAAAATGATTGGTTCGCTGTACCGTTCCAGTAAGTCTGTGAATCCTCATGGTATCCTCGACATTTATAAGAGCCAGATCAGTCCAAAAATGGAGTACTGTTGCCATATTTGGACAGAAGCTGCCGACACCTCATTTTCCAGTCTTAATACAGTTTAAATGCGTCTCCGATTCCTTGACGGAAAATAATTATTTTCCACACTCCAACAGGCGGGATGTGGTGAGTCTCTCTCTGCTCTATCACTACTACCATAGAAATCGTCCGGACCAACTGCATTTCCTGGTTCCAACAGGACTGATCTTCACGGCTAGGTTCCGACATGCCACTTAGATAGTAGCAAGCCATCCACATTCCATCAGCGAGAAGTTTCAATCAAACAGCTTCTTGCCGCGAACCATTACCATATAGAACCGACTCTATCGCGGATGCTTCCCCCATCACTACAATCTTAACCTGTTCAAGAATCAACCTTTATGTTTCGCTCATCTTAGGTCTTCTGAACAGAATTGGTTTTATCCCTTGTTTCCGGTTTAAGATTGTTTTCCAGAATATTTCTAAGTCTTTTCATTCTCTTTTTCTCCTGCAGACAGTTTGCGTTTAGTGACTTTGTTGCCTTGCTTGGGGGGAACTGATTAACAAAAAGCATTACCGATAACATGGTCCTACTTTCGAACATTAAAAAATTTCTCAACATCAGAAAGAAACAGTTAACATTCTTATGGAACACAATGAGAAAAGAGAGCTTAGAAAATAGACACTCATAAGTCATCCTGAAGGCGAGAGGAATGGAAGAAAGCAACGCATAACTTACCTTAGGAGCTTGTGTAAATAGATTAAAGAACAGGGATTAGAAGTAGCAAAAATATATTAAGAGCTACAAAGGACAGGAAGTTGTGAGGAGCCACGAGCGGCCACGATCGGAAGGGCAACGACAAATAGAAGAACAAGTTTGTATAAATAGTTGGCAGAACAAGGATTAGGAAAGAGTTCAGACAATTTATTAAGACTTGTAAATTATGGGAAACTGTGGAGAGCCATGACCACCTACGTTCTGAATGTACATTGAACTTAAAACAACATTCAGTATAGAGAATATTAATAGAATAATATAGAAAAACACTAATATGATAACTAAGTTGTTGTGTAGGAAACCTACCACCCCTCTTGAAGATGAAGTTGTCTACAAACAAAGACGTTAAATAGTGGCATGTCAAAAAAGACAGTGTCGGAGTAGTTCTTGGCTGAGCTTAGTTATAGACTACTCAGGCGATTTCTGTACCAACTTACCAACCTAATAAACCCCATTTATTGTTACGTGTTATTTGGCGTTTGTCTTTATTAACCCCAAATTAACATCATAACAAAAACAAATGGTTTTTGTTTGCAAAACGTACTTTTATCGACATTGACCACAGAGGTTTAATTAGAAATTTAACAAATATTTGGCAAACCAATTTGCATAAGGCTATCAATGGCTAATCTGATTAGCTTCAGATACATAAATATGATACGTAAACATACATATATAATATATCTTTTAAAATTGATATGAAATGGGAATCTTAGATATTACCTAAAGATCACTGAAATTCTCTGAGGGATTTTATAACATAAGAGGGATCATAATAATTATAAATACCTCTAAGAGCTACAAAAGATGGGAAGTTGTGAAATCAGTCATAAACGAAAATGTCCCTAAAAAGATTCTGTCATTCATTAATCATAGTCAAGTTCTTTTTTTTATGGATTGAAATAAATTGTTATATTAGATCGAGGAATTTTTACCAACTTATTGAAGATGATCTTCGTAAGTTCTTATCTTCGTCGCCATATCCTGATCTATTTGTAAGCATTATTTTTGAATTTAAAGTACGAATTTTCATTTTGTGGAATGATTTTCACTGCACTTTGTTAACAAAAGGACCAGCCCAAAATGTTCTCATTAACAAATGTCATACCGAAATCGGATCTTTTTAAACAATTTTTATATCTAAGTTGAAATTATTTAACAAAGGATGGAAAGTTACGACACTGAAATCCCTCATTATACTGAAAGATGCTTTTTAAACTTATTCACCGTTTTCTTGATGGTTCTTGAATTAGAAATTGAAATAAAAGTGCTCAGCCTGAATGTTGGTTCCATTATTTACGTACAAAAATTTATTTCTATTTTATCCATTTTTCGTTGGGTTTCAGATAGTAATTTAGATTTTTTCCTGTTCTTTCTAGCTGAATTATAAAAATTGTCATCGTTTCGAGAAAAAATTCGTTGGCTAAAAAATCACGTAAAAATCATTAAAACATTTTGTAGCATGAACAATTATGCTGTTACACGATGTGGACAATTTTGCTGCTACACTCGATATAATTATTGCTACATCGTTGGTGGTAATGAAAAACAAAAAAAAAAATTATATAGTTTTGTTCATAAATATATATTATCGATCGCTCGTTTCAAAATGGCTTTGTTTGGATATAAAAATCAAATTTAAACTGAAAATCTTCTGATTGATTTTTATGAAGAACATCCTTTATCAATTTTGATTGATGACAGTTTCTCTGTCCACGCATGCGTGAGGATCGGAAAATGAGAACATATTGAAACGTCATCTAATTTCATCAACATCAAAATAACTTATCTTCAATTAAATTTCCTTATTCAATCAGTCGTCTTTTTGTCATCGACGTGTTCAGTCATATAGTTTGAGAGTTTTATAATAACTATTTCACTATTTATCCTGTTTCCATAATTTTTCTTTATTTTTTCAACATTTCTTCATCAAAATCTTGGATCTCATAGCAAAATAACGCGAGGAGAATAAGCAAATAAGATTAGTCTCGAATGATATACAAGTTAAAATTAGCAAAACGTTGCCAAAATAGTGACGATCAATGTCTTTTTATAAAGAGTTTAGTCTTTAACGAGGCAGTCAACGCATTTGATTACATAAACGCCAATTTTGCAATATCCAATATTTAAAATTCATAAATTCCATAATAAATACCCGAAATCGTCAATTCCTAATTTTTTACTTTTTTCGATTCACTTTCAAATTTTTTCTAAAGATACCCTGTTCTTTTCTCATTTTATATACCATCAGATATATTAACGAGAAAGTTTCCATACCTTTCGGCCTGTCTGTCTGTCTCTTTTCTCTCGTTTTTTTTCTCTCTTTATTTTCTTTCAAACTCTCTTTCGAAGATTTCCCCCTTTCTGGAAATCTTTTTCTCTCGTTCTTTCCGATTTTCATCATTTTCCAACCTTTCAATCTGTTTTACTCTCCCCTCTCTGGGATCTTTCCCCCCCTTCTTACCAGGCCTTCTTTTCTTTCTCTCTCTCACTCATTATGTTTCTCCTCCTCTGTGTGTATTTCCCTCTCTTTCTTTCTCTTTCTTCATCTTCCATTTTCCTCCTCTGTCCTGTCTCTCTTTCCCTCTCCTTTGGACCTTCCTTCTCTCTTCTGTCTCTCTCTCTCTGTGGATTTCTTTGTCTCCTCCTTCTGTGGATGCCTTTTTCTCTCCACTTCTTTCCTCTTCTCTCTCCCTTTCAATGTTTTTTCTTTCTCTCTCTTTTCCTCTGTGGATGCCCTGTCTGTCTCTCAAACTCCTCTCTCTCTGTCTCCGCCTGCATTAACTGTTTCTCTCTCTTTGCTTATGCTTAGGTCTAACGCAATGAGTCTCTCTCTCCTGTAAGCCCCTGTCTGTGTGTGTGTCTCTCTCTCTCTGTGTATGCCCCTGTCTGTGTGTGTCTCTCTCTCTCTTTGCCCCTTGTCTGTGTGTACGTCTCCCTCTTTTGTTTCTTCCCTGTCTTTGTGTGTGTCCTTTCTGTGTATATCCCTGTCTGTATTTCTCTCTCTCTTTTCTCTCTCTGTGCCCCTTCTTCTTACTGTCTCCCTGTTCTGTGTCTGTTTCTCTCTCTCTCTCTCTCTTCTTGCCCCCTGTCTGAATGTGTGTCTCTCTCTCTCTGTGTGTGCCCTCTTCTGTTTGTTTTTCTTGTCTTCTTTTAAATCCTGTATGCCCTGTTTTTGTGTTTGTGTATCTCTCTCTCTCTGTGCCCCCCTTTCTACCTGGAATTTTCTCTTTTCTCACCTCTCTTTTCAATCTCTCCTCAGTCTCTCTCTCTCTGTGTATGCTTTTCTGTCTGTCTGTCTGTCTCTTCTCTCTCTCTCTGTCTGTCTGTCTGTCTCTCTCTCTCTCCTCTGTCTTCTCCTCTGTCTTCTCTCTTTTTTTCTCTTTCTCATTCTTTTCTCTCACCTCTATCTATATTTTTCTCTCTTTCATATCACGTCTTTTTCTTCTCCTCGACACAAAAACATTTTTGCCTTCTCTCTTTTTGAGATTCACCCCTTTTCCCATTTCTCGATTCTCTTTTTTCTTTCATAGATCTTCTTTTTTCACTTTTCATTCAGTTTTTCCTCTCTTTTTTGGCTTTCCATATCACGCCGTTTCTTCTACCCAGACTTAATGTTTTTCTCTTTCTATAACACCGATAAAAATATTGACAAAATGTTTTTCTTCTCAACCTCTTTTTTCTCTCTTTAGATGTTTTTCTTTTGTTGTAGGCACAATTTTAGTCTTTCACACGTACACACTTGTGTGTGTGTGTGGCCTATAGTAAATTCAATACACTTTAGTATTACGGGCTAGGGAATTTTGTTTTATGTAAGGTGTGGTCTTACGGATTTTTTCCTTATGAATTTTCTTCTCAAAACTCTCTCGCGAGTGTTAATGTCCAGTTTTTCTCTTCACCTCAGGCTATAGTTTTTTTTCTCTCTTTCAAATTGCTTTTTTTCTCAATTTTAACAGACTTGCTACCAAAGAATGATTAATTTTACGAGGTGGTTGTCATATCGTCTCTCACGAACTGAATGGCTCTGTAATTATGGCTGCCATTTGCAAATGCACCAGCGAGAAACAAATAAAGGGAAAAGCGTTCTCAGATAATTCCACAGAGTCAATCAATGCTGCACAGTTTGTTACTTTCCGCCCACTAGATACTAATATTTCTTTTTAGTTCGTCTATACCTAATGAATAAAAGGATAATGGCCATGTCTATTTTTTTTTCTTGATGCAATTTCTTCTCACCTCACCTGTTTTTTCTCTCTTTCATATCCGCTTTTGCTCATTTGTCAAAAAATTCTCTTTGTTTTCTTTCTTCCTTTGTAGTTATTCCCGTGTTATTTGTGGTAAAAGCCGTACCGAGGATCTCATTTTTCTAACATTTCCCATGTATTTTCCATTTATACCCCGATTCTCTTTTTTCTCTTTTTCGTATCCAATTTTCTTCTCACTATGATGTCTTCCATTCTTTCTTTCTTCCTTGATTTTCTTCTCACCCCGAGTTTTCTTTTTCTCTTTTCTATACTTTTTTTGCTTCTTTTTTTCATTTTTTCTTTCTTTCATATCGTTCTTTCTTCTTTCTTTTCTTTTTTTCTCTCTTTCTTTTTCTTTCTTCTTTGGAATTGCTTTTTTTTCTTTCATATCTTCTTTTTTCTTCTCCCCCTTGTCTCTCTTTTTCTCTCTTTCTATCCGTCTTTTCTTCTCCCTCAGAATCTCTCTTTTTCTCTCTCTTTTATCCATCTTTTCTTCTCTCCCTTTCTTTTTTTTTCTCTCTCTTTCTCTTTCCGTCTTCTCTTCTCTCCTCTCTTTCTTTTTTTTCTCTCTTTCATCTCTCTCCTTTCTTCTCTCCCTCTCTCCTTTTCTCTCTTTTTTTCTCTTCTTTTCATTCTCTCTTTCTTCTTTTCTCTCTCTCTTTTCTCTCTTTCATATCTCTTTCTTCTCACCTTCTCTCTTTTCTTTTCTTTCTCTCTTCTCTTTCTTTCTTTTTCTCTCCTCTCTCTCTTTTCTCTTTTTTCTCTCTCTTTTTCTTTTCTCTCTCCTTTTTCTCTCTTTCTCTCTTTTTTGAAATCTCTCTCCTTTTTCTCTCTCTCTCTTCTCTCTCTCCTTTTCTCTCTTTCTCTCTCTCTCCTTTTCTCTCTCTCTCTCTTCTTTCTCTCTCTCCTTTCTCTCTCCTTTTCTCTCTCTCCTTTTCTCTCTCTCTCTTTTTTTTTCTCTTTCTGCTTTTTCTCTTCTTTTTTTTTTTCTCTCTTTTTGGTTTGCTTTCTTTTCTCTCTCTCTTTTTCTTCATATATTTCTGTCTTTGTTTTTCATTTTATTAATCGCCCGTCTTTTTCATCCTATCCTATCTTTCATATAGTATCTACATTTCTTTCATCCCTCAATTGTCTTCGTAAGCTTTCTGTTCTTCAACGTCTTCTCAACGATCGTTTGGTTTGACTGAGGCCGATGAGAATATCGCAATGGACAGTAAGGCGGAAAGAATATAAATTGTATTGTTATTCGGAAATATGAAGATTTGGTTGGGAGAAATAAGAGAAAGTCATATCAATTTCTGATATACGATTTTGTTTTTCATTTTTTGTCAATATTTAAATCTAGGAAATCCACAATATCTTTGTTATATATGTCTGTTACAAAATGTATGTATGTATTTATGTATGTATGTATACACATAGACACATATATATTTAAATTTTAAACAGCTAACCTTATCCTCAAAAATAACAATACAACTGCAGAATCCAAACTACAAAGAACCAACATTAGTTAACATGTTCAAATTCCCCTTAAGGAACTATGCTCCTGATCAAACCAAACTCATAAATAATTACATTGGTCACACAAGTACATGCCTATCCAGACGACTTACGTTACAGCTATTCGACTACGGCTCCATTATAGCTTATTTTAATATGGACACAAGCCTACCAGACTCAATCCGAAAAATACTTGTAGAAAATACAAGTATAATGTCCTCATCCACATGTAAAAAAAGTTTTAAAATAATGGAAGTTCTAATAATAAAAAAGAAAAAGCCAATATTCAATAATAATAATTAACTACGAACACTGCCACAATGGGCTGACTGTGTTTGGAAAATAAAACATACCTATACAGTTTTTACACACTTTGTGTCTGGAAACGAAATATATATATATATATATATATATATATATATATATAATTGTTATACTGGAACATACCTATTCTATTATTAAGATTCTCCCACATATAATAAGTAGTAGCAGTCGCCAGGGAGCTCAGTGAGTTGCTCAGTCAGTCGATGTCGAACATTAAAGTTTCAGCCACCACAACTAGATTGCTGCATCATTAACTATTATTTCAAGTTCCTAACGTTTTGTACGTCAAACCTTTTTAGGACCGACTAAACAAGCCTCCACTGTGAAACTACTCTAATGTGTGTGTGTCTTTGTGTAATAAAGATAGGAGTGTTGGTTGGTACGTTGGTGGATTTGCCTTCAGAAGTATATTTCTTTGTGTCCACTATACTAAAATATTTATGAGATTCCCAAGACTCAATATATGTACAAATCAAAACTCATTTCAGAATTCCTGTCTTACCTAACAGTTATCTTAAAACCGAAGCGTCATGGTTGCTTCGTACATTTTGTATGTCTGCGTTCCTTCCATGAAACCACTGTTGGAATCATACCTACCTGTTGGGGCCCACCTCAGAGTTCGACACTATCACATTATTTCCGTGTGTGAAAACTGTGTTGACGAAACTGTGATTTTTATGCCAGAACAGTCATCGTGGCCGAGTTTTTTGAGTGTACTAACTTTAACTACTAATGCCAGAAAATTACCTGCTCTTTTGAGAAACTAAGAGCAGGGATTAGTTTGCCATTCTAGCAGACAAGAATACTTGGAAATATCCAGCCAGCCATTAAGTAGAAATATTCTGTATGAAATACATAACGAATAAATGCCCCAATTATATCAAAAATGAACTCGCATATTTATTTATTTAAAATAATATGTTTGCTTCACAACCTGGATACGTTTCTATATGCTATGTCCTTCCAAGACCTGTTTTTTTCATAACACTCCACTGTTCTCAACTTGAGATATATATATATATATATATATATAATAAAATAAATACCAGCAATACAAAGAGTTATACATTTTTGGAAAAAAATATGACCAGCTATAGATTTCTTTAAGGACAAATATTCTCCCCAGCTTAAGAAATAGCGAGTAACCAATCAGGATACCAATTACGGTCAGTCGTCAGCAACATTAACAAATGGTTAATTCTGTCCATTTCTGCTTATCATAATATCGACAGAGGTTTATGTAAATCGAAAGGAAAAGAAGCGAAGACGGTCGTATTAAACTTAGAATAGAAATACAATCTTCTGACCTTCACTTCACCAGCTGAACTTTTCTTGCGTCATAATAGGAGTAGATAGATCCGCCTATCGTCCGGATCACACTCTACGCCGGTCTTTTAAATATGAGTAGAGGTTTATCCCTCGTTCTCTATTTAGGATTGCTTTTCTGGTTCCTTCTAAACTCTATACTCCTAACGCATGTCTTTTTGTGCTAGTATAACTTTAAATAGAAATCCCCTCTACCTTGAATGGCTCTTGGACCTTATTTTGGAAAAACATTAGTAAAAAAAAAAATCGGCTCTTCTTGCTATTAGAAAATTAATCTTGTATTAAAAATCTTCAGTGCCAGAAATTTGTCAGGTACCAAATTTCGTAGTATCCCACAGCTTACTCTGAACAAAAGAAAAATGCCGGTGTTTGGTGATTAGTAATTAGTGTGGCTTATCAGTACCTATAGATCGTCTTTTTTGGCAAAATGATGAATGTTTACCGTAAAAAGCAGAAATTATTTCATATCCATCCTTTAGGTACTGACCAGGCTCAACGTTGCTTAACATCGGCGTTCGCATGGGAATCGATGTTTCAACGTGATGTGGCCGTATGCCTTAGCTACATGAGAGTAGGACGCAAGGAGTATATCGGTTACAAAGAAAATCAGGGGTATATAGGTTATAAGGCGAATCAAAACATCAGTAATTTGCGTATAATTTCTTTGAATTCGCAATCAGTAATTTAGACCTAAGGTCGACTGGCTTCACTAATCGGTGATGCTGATCTTTTCGGGGTGTTTCAAATGGCTGATTAGATATAATGAAATGGGAAAGAATCAGGATTTTCACTTACTCTGATTAAGTGCGTAATCGTACAATTTGCTGATGAATTCAAGAACATTGTGTCACGTTTAGGGGTGACCTCGGGTATCAGAAATATGTCTTCGAGCACTCAGAAAGAAAATTCCACTGTTACAATGAGTTTGGTGTAGAAGTGTATTGCCAAAATCAAGCTAAGAATGACGGTATCTTCATCATAAAACTAATGTGATTAAGATAATGACCAGAATTTTACATATGGAACATTGTCATCTTTTTAAATGAGTCTTGATTTTCAGCGGAGAAGAGAATTTCAACATAGCCGTTTTGTTTCGTTTAAACTCTTTGTATCATTTTGTGGTAAAAAAAATAAGC